ACATCTGAATGTCTCAACAGAAATCGAGACTCATCAGACCAGACAACATTTTTCCAGTCTTCAACTGTTCAATTTTGGTGAGCTCTTGCAAATTGTAGCCTCTTTTTCCTATTTGTAGTGGAGATGAGTGGTACCCGGTGGAGTCTTCTGGTGTTGTAGCCCATCCGCCTCAAGGTTGTGCGTGTTGTGGCTTCACAAATGCTTTGCTGCATACCTCGGTTGTAACGAGTGGTTATTTCAGTCACTGTTGCCCTTCTATCAGCTCGAACCAGTCTGGCCATTCTCCTCTGACCTCTGGCATCAACAAGGCATTTCCGCCCACAGAACTGCCGCTCACTGGATGTTTTTTCTTTTTCGGACCATTCTCTGTAAACCCTAGAGATGGTTGTGCGTGAAAATCCCAGTAGATTAGCAGTTTCTGAAATACTCAGACCAGCCCTTCTGGCACCAACAATCATGCCACGTTCAAAGTCACTCAAATCAACTTTCTTCCCCATACTGATGCTCGGTTTGAACTGCAGGAGATTGTCTTGACCATGTCTACATGCCTAAATGCACTGAGTTGCCGCCATGTGATTGGCTGCTTAGAAATTAAGTGTTAACGAGCAGTTGGACAGGTGTACCTAATAAAGTGGCCGGTGAGTGTATATTAAAAACTATTGCTCTCTAAATGTAATTCTTGATTTTAAAAAGATCAACAAAAGTTCAACATGAGTGCATATTTACTTTCTGAAAGCCAGTTTACCAGATTAAACACTGTACAATACAATTGTCTATCTGAATACTTGATTTTGATTGGCTGGAAGGTGTCCAATAAAACAGTTTAATGCACAGCTAGCAGTGGATTATCCCTTACTAATGGATTCTTGGCCTGGGCGAGATATTCAGATCCTAAATACACTGTTAAAATAATAAAAGATTAAAAACATGCAGTGAATAAATGCAATTAATTAAGAAGAATGATTAATTATTGATAGCACAATAATAACGTTCATTAGTAAATTTAATTTCAAACTCATTAAAAAACCAAACAGGAAAGCATAATAAAATAAAACACTGTAATTCTACCCTTCAGAACTTTATGAGGCAAGACGTACTAGATGGTTTCAAAGCAGAAATGTGCAGCTCATACTTTTATTAAAATGCTTATGTGAACTCTTCTGTACAAACTTGAGTGTTATTAGAGCTTCAAGTTGGATGAATTTGCTAGTTATGCATTACTAGCATGGAGACAGCCCCTTTCCGGCATCCTTGCACATCTCCTTCAAAAGATTTAATGATTTGATGTAATTCTACAAAGACAAGATTAATAAGTATTTAATTCTGTGGTAACCAAGAACATTCAGTCTTTTTTTTTTTTACACTATTTTGTTCAGTAAAAACCATACACAAACACAAACACCATCTGAAACAACCCAAACAAAATTATGACTCGGCAAGTGTACGTACAAAATAAATAAATCTTTATTAATGATTTGCATTAAAGATTATCCCTCATGCATCCCAGGCGGAAAGGGAACACATCCCCTTAGTCGCATAAATCAATTAGTATTACAATTCATTTCATCTTAGACAACAAAAACAACAACAAAAACTCATTCACACTGAGGAAAATTAAGTTGAACACTTTAAATCCAGAAGCAGATTTGACAGACTATCCTCTGCTGTCTTTAAGAATAAAAAAATATTTTAAAAGCGTGCTAGTGTATATATATATATAGTATGTATAAAGAGAATTTAGTGCTTTTTCTTCTCACAGGACAAAATGTTTATGAATGTGCTCCGAAGGCTTACGTGTCTTATCTATACATACAGTATGTGATAGACTATCAACAGGAAATGAAGACAGCTGTGTGCATTTTGAGTAGAACAGTAGTTGTGATTGGTCAGTTCAAGTTTAAGAGAAAAAAAAGTGAAATGTATTGCACAGTTAGTTCCTCACAGAGGCTGAATTAGAAAACAAGTCTGATTACAGTAGACATTTTTGTCCTAGACAGACAAAGACACACTCACACAGAAAACTTTAGTCACCCACAAGTCTTTTCAAACATTCGACAAGACCTGCATCACATACTTAGATACATCCCAAAAGATTCATTACATTTCTGTAATATGTACCAGACGGATGCCACAATAAGCCGTGTGCCCTTTGCGGATTTGGACGGGGGAAGATCTCAACCGCTGCAAATGTGGAATCTGGACTTGAACATGTTGCAGTGAATCTGCTTACTCGACAGTCCAGAAGCATTGGAGTCTGGAAGGGCTTCACAGACAGAACCAGAAAGAGGTGCTGGGCCTTTCTCAGTGCAAAGCTTTAACCAGTGTTCGTTGCGACTATTTCACAGGATTTACTTCTTCACCTGCAGAAGGAAACAAAACAGAGATACTGACTGCAAAGACTGTGACCTGCCTACTGCCTTCTAAAGCATATAGTCGGATACTCAAACGAGCATACAATTACACAGACCTTTTTACAATTATATTAAACCATCTATTGATACATTTCGGTACTGATTGAATTCTTCATATATTTATAATCCACAAACACTTGCTTCAATATCCTGCCATCTTGGCCTAAGCTCATCACAATGCATTCTGGTTTACCTTCTATGTGAAGAATATATGGAATTCCAAAAACGTATCTTTGAACACATCTACAATTTTTGAAACAACTACCGCTGCATGCTTATGATGTCTTAATATGCTGTCTATGTCGGCAGCTCACTAGAGTTAAGAAACACTCTTAAATGCCCAAGAAATACAGTATTACTATCAAAAGTGTTCCTAAGTATTTGAGAAATACAATATTTTTGCCCCCAAACATCAAGATGTCATGTTAATATATATACACCATATGTGTTATATCCACACACACACAAAATTATAAATATATAGTTATATATATATATATATATATATATATATATATATATATATATATATATATATATATATATATATATATTATACACACACTCACCTAAAGGATTATTAGGAACACCATACTAATACTGTGTTTGACCCCCTTTCGCCTTCAGAACTGCCTTAATTCTACGTGGCATTGATTCAACAAGGTGCTGAAAGCATTCATGGTGGCCATAAAGGGATGGACATGGTCAGAAACAATGCTCAGGTAGGCCGTGGCATTTAAACGATGCCCAATTGGCACTAAGGGGCCTAAAGTGTGCCAAGAAAACATCCCCCACACCATTACACCACCACCACCAGCCTGCACAGTGGTAACAAGGCATGATGGATCCATGTTCTCATTCTGTTTACGCCAAATTCTGACTCTACCATCTGAATGTCTCAACAGAAATTGAGACTCATCAGACCAGGCAACATTTTACCAGTCTTCAACTGTCCAATTTTGGTGAGCTCTTGCAAATTGTAGCCTCTTTTTCCTATTTGTAGTGGAGATGAGTGGTACCCGGTGGGGTCTTCTGCTGTTGTAGCCCATCCGCCTCAAGGTTGTGCGTGTTGTGGCTTCACAAATGCTTTGCTGCATACCTCGGTTGTAATGAGTGGTTATTTCAGTCAAAGTTGCTCTTCTATCAGCTTGAATCAGTCGGCCCATTCTCCTCTGACCTCTAGCATCAACAAGGCATTTTCGCCCACAGGACTGCCGCATACAGGATGTTTTTCCCTTTTCACACCATTCTTTGTAAACCCTAGAAATGGTTGTGCGTGAAAATCCCAGTAACTGAGCAGATTGTGAAATACTCAGACCGGCCCGTCGGGCACCAACAACCATGCCACGCTCAAAATTGCTTAAATCACCTTTCTTTCCCATTCTGAAATTCAGTTTGGAGTTCAGGAGATTGTCTTGACCAGGACCACACCCCTAAATGCATTGAAGCAACTGCCATGTGATTGGTTGATTAGATAATTGCATTAATAAGAAATTGAACAGGGGTTCCTAATTATCCTTTAGGTGAGTGTATATATATATATATATATATATATACATAGTTACACACACACAGTCAAACCAAAATGTATTCAGACAACATTTCTCACATTATAACAGTTTATTCGCTATAGTTTCGAAAATGGTAATAAAATATGACAAGAACTCAGAGTTATCAAATCAGTTGATATTTCACTGGTTTTGGTTCTGTTAGACTGTCTCACAAATGAATTAGGTTGAATATCTGTCAGCTGTTAAATTTAAGTACACAATTAGATAATACCTATTTAGGTCAACCAATTACCAAGCAATGATGAATTTTGTTCAGTCTGTGGTGTAAAAAGGTCGCATTAGCAATTAAAGAAAAAACACTTAAGCAAATCATGGTCAGGTCAAAGTGTCTGAATAATTTTTGCTTCCAAATTTTAATAGATTCTACTGGCAATCCACTGTATGAAGAGTTTTTGGGTATAATATGTCACAGCTATCCTCACTTACATAATGAACTATAGTGTCCTGCACCCACTAGTAAAAAAATATTTTCAAAATTATATCTTGTGTCTGAATAACTTTTGGTTTGAATGTGTATATATATATATAGTGCTTGTAGTCAATTGTTTTATTTGTAATAATGCAGTGAAAAATGTCAAATTGTGCGGAAATAATTTTTGGAAAGGCTGTCATACAATGAAATTATGAACGCATGCAAAAACGAGAGAACCTACAAAATATGAATTGAATATATTGTAGTTAATTTATGCTTTTCCCTGTGAGCTTTTGGTTTTCCTATGCATTTTTTGCAGAGTAAATTAAAACCTGCAACTGTCATTTTGCCAAATAATTTTGTCAGATAAATACCTTAATAATGTTTAGTGTTTTGTTCTTCTCTCATTCAAATATGACATATTTTCCTCATATGTTGATGGCTTAATTGAACTTGTAGGGTCATTAAAACAAATATCCTGACATCACTTTTGGCCACTACTATATATACTCATATATATACAGAACACACATATGTGTGTCCAAGATGAAAAGTTTTCAAGCACTTAACAGATCTGTATTGAGCATAATGTGATCCATCAAACCAACCTCCATCCTCTGTTCTGCTGCTTACACAGGAGGCTTCCTGGCTGGAAGAGGAGATCTATGTGGCGACACAGCGGCCAGAAGCTCGTTCACAATCTCCTGCCTGATTTCATGAGCGATGCTATCTTTAATCTGCGGGAGGATACAAGAAATGATGTTAGACTGCATTAAAGGCAGGAAAATCAAACACTACTAACTATATAGTAAGACCACCTAAAATGTGAATCATTTGAATTATTTACATGAAATTATATTTCAAAGTGACTTATAATGCAGTTATAATCAAGTATGCAAAACAAATTTGGAATAGTCCCAGATGTGAGAGTAACTTGAGACCAAGTTTATTTGTATAGCACATTTCCCACAAGCCGCTAGTTTCAGTTTACTTTGAATACATTTGTTTAGGATTGGAGATTATAATAAATGTTCTTTATTATGACTGCCTCTGTAATTTATGCTCACTTTATACATTCATTCCTGTACTGTCCTGAACGCTGTTAAATTTAAAGGATTTGTTGTGGAGTGAGGAGAACTAAAATACATGTTTAGTGTTTATAATGTTTGTAAACCTTTCGTTTTATTTCTGAATGCAAAATTTTTTTTTTTTTTTTTTTTTTATTATACACTGACTGCAATTATCTCGACAATGCAATTTTGACCCAGTGCATCTTTATAATTAGGTGTGACTTATTTTAGGAAAATATGGTATCTTGTTTCTAGAAAAGCACTATTTTTTAAAAAGAAAACAGCCAAACTACTATCATACTACCGAAAAATTTAGTTAAAGTTGTTACAACTTAACTTTAGTTGCTCCCCAACACTGTTAGAGAATTACTGTATGTGTAAACCTGTCATACAGCAACAGTCACAATGATGTTAAACGATTAGAACAGTTTTTTTTTTTTTTCCATATATGAAATCCCAAGAACTGGCAGTGATGTGAAGTGTCAAATATATACAGTATTGACACACCGATGAAGAACATCAGGTCTTGCCAGGCTGTTACATCACCCCACAGGCCTTGAAATTTACTTCAAGGAACCAATTCAGTCCAAGTTTCCCTTAGAAGCATCAGAATTGCTGGAACATCGAGACAGACTTGTAAATCAGCCTAAACTGATGCATGATATTTCATGAGCAAATCTGTCAATCATCACATACACCAAAAACCATTACGGCTCGCTCAAACGGTGCCAAAGACAGTCAAATATGCTTTTTCCACTTTCTTTTGAGACGGGGACGGAAAACACATGCTGCTTTTGTGTCTCCATATCATCATTTTCTAGATGTTTTGGCAGAATCTAACAGTATTTTTCTTACATGTCTCTCTGGAGTACTCAATTCTGATGGGTCAGTCGTGGCATTTAGCTGTCAGAAATGTCTTATTATTACACGCCACGGCTCTCTAAAATGCTTGACTCTGATTGGTCAGTCACAACATTTCTGTTTCTTCTCAAATTAATATTTCATGTCCCCGTCATAATGCAAGTAGTGAAAAGCTGTGTAATAAATTAACCCTTAAATGTCTGTCTTGTTTGAACTTGTTCGTTTGCAGTGTTATTTTAGTCTCATTGAGTAGTTTTATAATAGTTTTTATTAATATTTTGATTTTTGTATTTATTTTTATAGTGTCCGGTTTCCTTTTAATTTTAGTTAAAGTTTTAGTAATTTTGTAGTATGATTTTGTAATTTTTATACTTTTTATTATTATAAATAGGTCTGTATAGTTTTATAAATTTTCATTCTTTTTGAACTCAAATCAATATTTTTTTTGCGATAACAACCGGCTGGATGTACAGTACATTACACCTTACATATTGGCCATTGACAATGCTGTACATCAGTCGGCTTATTCGGATAAATGTATAAGTGCTCTCACCTCTTGTATAAGATGTTGCAGGTCACCATTCCCTCTACTTCTACTCCTCCACTCGGTGGGACAGCAGTCCTCAGCCGTCCTGCTCCTGCGACCATCCAGTGACGACTCGTCTTCATCTCTGCTGAACTCCAAAGAAGTAGGTGTCAGGTTCGGCTCCATCCTTTCCGGGGATTCGGGCCGAGGAACCTCCATTCCAGGCCGTGGAGGGATGGTGGGTGTGAGGTTGAGGGTGGCCCGGTAAACGCTGCCTCTTTGCAGGGAAGGCGAGCAACAGTCGTGTGTTCGGTTGAATCTGCCAGGGCTGGATGCTCTCGATGAGCGGCCTGAACTGAGTGTGGGAGCCTCATATCCCAGCTCAGATTGAAGGTACAACTGCTCCTTCAGGAGGTCCGTCACCTGTACATTCATATCAGAATTGGAAAAGGAAACAGAGTAGAATAAGCCATGGAAATGATATCCGATACAGGACCCTGTAACATGAGAATAATCCACTCACCGGCTCCATGGCCCGCAGTGCTGAAGAATTAGACAGGCTTTCCATGCTATGACCTCTCTGCATTCCCTGTGAGACACACGTGTTTGTTACTAAAGAGTTAAAAAATCTACGGTCTGTAAGATTCATTTGAATGTTTTTGAAAGAAGTCTCTTTTGCTCAACAAAGCTGCATTTATTTCATCACAAGTACAGTAAAAACTGTAATATTGTGAAATATTCTTTACAATTTAAATTTTAACACATTTTAAAATTTTATTTATTCCTGTGATGCAAAGCTGAATTTTCAGCATCATTACTCCAGTGTCACATGATCCTTCAGAAATCATTCTAACATGCTGATTTGGTCCTCTAAGAACATTTCTTAATATTATCAATGTTGAAAACAGTTGAGCAGCTTAATATTTTTGAGGAGGTTTTTGAGGTTTTTAGGATTCGTTGATGAATAGAAAGTATAAAAACAGCATTTATTAGAAATAAAATTCCTTTGTGTATTATAAATGCCTTTACTCTCAAAGTTGATGCATCCTTGCTGAATAAAAGTAATAATAATAATTGTAGTTATAATAATAAAAATAAAAATCTTACTGACCCCAAACTTTCGAACAGTAGTGTATACAAAGTTTCCAGATTTTAGTCATTTGTCATCACACTAATGGTATATAATAGTTATTTTGCTGAAATTCAACTCAACACTGTTTTATACATTACATTATCAAAATGCAATGTCAGTTTATGGTTATTCTAAATATATCAGGTTCAGTGAACCTCACATTAGAATTCACATTTAGACTTATTCTGCACTTCCAATCCTAAGAGGCGATAATAAAAAATGATAAATGCATATTTTGTTTTATTACCTGCTAACAGATACATACTTTTTGTAAAGTATTTAAAGCAGAATAGGTCTAAGCTAAGCTATTACAGCATCCTTTATCATTTATTATGAGGCAGCTGCAGTCACATCCACTGACCATGTGGTGGCGGTAGAGGCTGCTGTGCTGGGAGCTGCTGCGCATCTCTTCGTTCAGAGAGAGCAGGCGATCCTCCAGCTGAAGCTCCAGATCCTGCAGCTCCTGTCTGACTGCAGTCCGCAGGGTTTCCAGATGTTCCGCCTCCCGCCTGCAACAGCACAGGTTCAAGTTTTTCACGGTTCGGTTTTTATCAGTTCTGCAGACAGCTTGTAAATACTTGGTAAATCGCTAGTAGAGGTGCAGTGATCAAATCAATTTGAGGTTGAAACAGAAAAACAATAGTTTAACACTATTATTTGCCAATACCGTAACTTTTTCAATAGTGATTAACGTTAATCATTAGCATGCTTTGTTTACATATTTTAGGGTTCTTGATTAGTTTATTGCTACATCCGCCTTTCTCTCGATCAAATTGTAAAGCTATTCAGTGCTACTGGAAACTAACATGCTTTTGTAAAAACAGAAATGTGAAATATTTGTTCAAAATAACTGTTTCTATTTTAATATATTTTAAAATGTCATTTATCCCAGTGATGGCAAAGCTGAATTTTCAGCAGCAATTAGGGCTAGTCTAGTATTCAGTGTCACATGTCCTTTAGAAATCATACTAATATGCCTATAAATCATTAGCATGTATGATTCATTTGACAATTCATTTAGTGGCTTTCTCTCTGTAAAATTGTACTGCTTTTCAGTGCGACAAGGAACATTTTGTAATATCTTTTCAATTTGATTTATTTATTTTGACAGATCCCCTTAGGGCTCCAGTTTAAAAAGAAGTGTTTTGGCTTTCTAGACCAGTGTGTGAGACTTGGGCAAAAGGAGCACGTTGCCCTTTGTGGCTTGTGATTTTGTTCCTCACCTCTCATCTGGACTAAGATGCTGGTAGACCATAGACTGCTGTCTCATGAGAGCCAGTTCCAGATCCATCATCTGAGTCCGGAAGACGTTCAGACTCCTGCGCCGCATCTGGAGCTCCTGCAGAAAACATTAGGTAAAGACTACCCAAAAAACTCTTGCACAAGCTATATAATCATCTCAATTTCATAAGAGGCTTCTACTGATGCAACTCATGTGACTGCTTCCTCTTTGGGAAATGATGTACCTCATAAAGCAGTTGGACAGAGCGTGGTGTACTGATCCTGTCAATGGGTGTGTCCCCTCCATGCACCGATGAGCTCTGCCAACAAAACCACAGATCAGTTATCACTTTTGAGTCACGCAGGAAATACATGTATAAACTGAGCCCGGGATAATGCAGCATGCTGACTCGGCAGAATATTTGCATTTAGGGTGGAATCCGGAACACACTTCCTTGTTCTACTTTATGTAGATATATTTAAAACTTTGTGTGAAACAAAACACTTATTACAGGTCATAGGTTACACACACACACACACACACACACACACACACACACACACAGGTCATAGGTTACACACACACGGTTCACGATCTTTGTGGGGACTCTCCATAGACATAATTGTTTTTATACTGTACAAACTGTATATTCCATACCCGTACACTAACCCTACCCCTAAACCTACCCATCACAGAAATCTGCATTTTACATTTTCAAAAAACTAATTCTGTGTGATTTATAAGCTTGTTTCATCAAGGGGACCTCGATTTAGGTCCCCACGGTGACACGAGTCCCCTGGAGTCAGTGTGCATTCAGGTTGAAGTCCCCACCAGGATAGAAACACATGAACACACACATACACAACCTCTTCTTCATGTTTAATGGGGACTTTCCATAGATAATGAATTTTATACTGTACAAACTGTATATTTTATCCATTTACACTAACCCTACCCATCGCAGTTCTGTTTTTTTACATTTTCAAAAAAATCATTCAATATGATTTATAAGCCGTTTTCCTCACGGGGACCAAAACATTTCCCCACAAGGACAAGGATTTCAGATATTACTATCTTTGTGGGAACATTTTGTCCCCATAATGTAGGGTTTGCCACCCACACACACACACACCAACGTGCCTAGAAACACTCCTTAATAAGATGCTCTTTCTCATCAAGACTTTTGTTTTTTTTTGTTTTCGCATTACTTGATGTTTCCTAAGTCCAGCCCATGCAAATATATCTACTGTGCTATAGCAAAAACTCCACCAGCTAACCTATTTCTACCATAAGAATCAGAAACGGTTACTAATACATCCTAGGCACAGCCTTATTAATAACCAGGTTTACCATAGGTTAAGACCGTTTGGATGCAACACACAAGTATACAAATAATTTTGGCAGTTCTCACCTGACCAAGGTTCTGCATTGTCCCACGAATGTCATGGAGGACCCTCATAAGCTGCATCTCTGTGCTGCCCATCGCAGGAGCGGGTGCTGGAGGAGTCCCAAAGGAGAAAGGGTAGGGGGGAGACGGATAATATGGATGACTGTAGGGCGCACCGGGGTGATGTGAAGAATTGTTGTACCCCAAATTGTAGGGGGCACTGTGGGACTGCGCAAGAGGGATGTGAGTTTCGTACGGGCTGCCGTGGATGTTCAATGAGGGGCCATAGGGAGCTCCCTGAGAAACGTTATAAGGTGAAGAGAATGGGTTGTATGGTGTGCTGTGCGGATGCGCATAATGCATATTGTGCTGGGGTGCAACGGTCACCCCCTGTGGTGGAGTAAATGTATGGTTCTGAAGTGGCTGAGGATAAGGCGAGCTCTGCGGTTGTGGGAAGGGAGTGTGGTGGGGAATTCTTGTAGGGTACGAGAAGTTGTAGGCCAATCCATGTTGTGGAGAGTAGAAGGATCCATGAGGAGGAGGAGGATGAGGAAGAGGGTGGGCCGGACCTGTATAATGAGAAAGGTTTGGGACGCTACATGTGCTCCAGCTTGGACCTTCACCCAGGGGCCTCTGGGGCCAGTCGGCAGGGACACTATAAAGCGAGCTGGAAGAGCGAGTCAGATGTTGGGGTATGTTTAGATGGTTTGGTGGTGGTTGTGTTCCCCTATCAGTCATTGATCTACTTGCTGGAACAGAATTCAAGAGTGTAGATTGTCTGTCGGCATGATCAACTTCGTCTTCTTCCATGATGGAATCCACTTCTTCCCAGTCACTGCGATTCTCCTCATCGTAGCGGTATGTGTACGAGGGTGGGGTACAGTGCTTGACCGAACCCTTTCCAAGTTGGATGCGCATGGAGGTGACCACTCGAGTCGGGTTGAGTGAAGACATTGGGAGGGAGCTGGATCTCCTTAAAGGATTCCTCTCCAAGCTTTCCCTCAGCAAGTCCTTGTCCCTCACCCATACTCGGCCAGGACGTTCCTCGTCCATTGAGGATGACCTTTGATGGGCCGTGTGGAGGGCCATCTGCCTCCTTTGAGCCGTGGGGTGGCAATGCTCAAGATCCGATGACTCTGGTCCGAAGGATGAATGTAGATCTTCAGGAGAGTCTGGATCCATGCCAAAACCAGGCTGGGATGTGTTGCCCTCATGAGTTACATCTGAATCTGTTGTAGGATTTACAATCACGGTCAAATCCACTTCTGGAGAGTCTGTGGTGGGTTCTTGCACTATGTTGGAGTCAGGAGACAGGAGTGGTCCATTGGTGCTAATATTGTCAGAGTTTGGATTGGGAATCTGGAGGCTGGGGATCTCAGGGACTTGTCTGTTGACTCCACTCTGGCTAGATGTGCCTCTGGGCAGAGGATGGGGTTCCTCGCCCAGCAACATTTTAAAGTTGGGGTACTCCAACGCTACTGGAGTGCTGACTTCACCTGCATGCGATGTCACTGTAGTTTCACTGTCACAGCTGTCTGAGCTTTCTTGTACCTAATAAAAGAGAGAATGTTCACTTCCATTATCCAATGAAGAACTGGTTCTTAGGAAAATTAAATGTTGAAAGTTAGATTTATGTTTTGAGAATTTCCCGGAGAACACACATGGCACAAGTTCTAGTGCATCTTAAAGAGGACATTTTCAAGATGTAGAGTTTTCAGTGGAGATGCACCAGTTGACAGGCCATCAATCAGAACCAGATTTATTATATATACTTTTTATGATATCAGTGCAAACTAAATTTTCACATAAACATGGGTCTGATAAACATGAATCCGAGGAGGATTGCACTTTGTATTCATAGATTGTTGAGAGCCCAGATGGTTATGCCCACACTCGCGTACCTTCAGGTGATAACCCGAACCGTCTGTGGATGGGTCCTCTGCAAACCCGCTGCTGTCAGACTGCTGGCTGGCAGTCCTCAATAACCGCTCTGTAGGAGAAACAACACAGGCACCAAAACTGAGTGTGAATGACTAATTTCCCAGCGGTAAAAGACTTCTCAAATTTAAAGCCAGTTTATCATTCATGAGTTTTAAGGCTTAGATCTCATTATTTAGGTTCAGTGTGGTGAATATGGGAAATTATTGCCACACATTTGTCTGTTTTCCTATCACTTATTCACTGTAATAATAACAAGTTTGGTAGCATAATGTTGCATATCACAGAACATAATTATGACTCAAACCACTTTTACTTGAATCTAGAACATTCTTCTAGTGAACATCTACTAAATTCTACCACACGAGGTCAGACTTGCTCTATACTGTCTCTAAAAGACATATACTTAAAGTCCCCTGCAGCTCTTTAGGGCTGGGCTATAGGACAGCATGATAGACAGAATCACAGTTATGAATAAGAATTTTTTCCTCTGTGATCATATCGGGTTGTCTTTCCCTAGAAGAAAACACAGTCGTTGCATTCTCAGGAGGAACGAGTCAAAGCATTTTTATCTTAATTCAAATTTAAATCTTACTGATTGTCATGTTGTAAACAATACCATAGCAAACGTAACTGCAAAACCTGTTGCTAAGAGGTCTCTTTTACATGAAATTGTTTTGAATGCTTCAAAATTGCAAATACAAATTCAGTTTCCTGGTAGCGTGACTGATAACCGCAGTCAGTCCACACTCACCGCTGCCATCTCGAGACATGCCACCAGGACCAGGAAGAGCTTCATCCTCATTACTCTGCAACTGCAAAGAAATAGATTATTACCATTCTGACAGATTACAACACAGCAGCATAGTCACACTTGAACATTACACCAGTTTTAGATACTCAAAAGATGCTGCTCATAAGCCAATGTTAGAAAATGTGGTATGACCAAGGGCCAGCATATACAATGACCTGGTAAAAGTACTGGGTGGTTTTGACAGACAGATAGTCACACCCCAAACTCAAACTATTGGTCGAGTCAATGTTGCCATATCATGCCGTGTCGGGATGCTCAAACAAACAGAGCAATAAGAGATTATTCTATCATCATTTACTAACCCTCATGTTGGTCCAAACCTGTAAGACTTACTATCTACTGTAGAACATAAAAAAATATATTTTATACAATGCTGGCATCCAAACAACATTGGACCCATTGACTTTCATTGTATGGACAAAATACAGAAATTTTTCAAACTACCATCTTTTGTGTTTGAAAGAAGAATGTAAGTCATAACGGTTTGGAATGACATTAGGGTGAGTAAGAAATTTAAATTTTGGTTGAACTATCCCTTTAAGTTGTGAAACACTCGAAACAATCAACTTTTCAATGATGGAAAAAAAGATAAAGATATACAAATAAATCGAACCATTAATTTATTAATTGTACATTAATATTATAAAAGTATATTATTATTATTATTATATTCACTAGTAATTTACAATTAATATTTAACTGTTCAATTAATTTATAATAATATAATATAATTTTACAGAAGGAACTTTTGACTATGGTTTAAAAAAATACTATAGCAAAAACAACTACCCTAACTAATATAAATTTTAAGCATTATTAATGACAACTAAACACTCCGTACTTAAAAAAGAACAATAAACAAATTAGCAATTGCACAAATAAATACAACTGAACAAAGATACAACAGTTTTTTAAGATTTTCATGTACTATTCAGATACAGACACTGTTATCAAATGTAAAAATAACAGCACTTTATAAATAAAATATACATTAGACAATATCTTTACAAAAGTTATTCACTCAAAAACAGCGAGTACATTTTCTCTTAATCTTTTGTTGTCTGATTAACGCTATTATAGAGACGGCAGTAGGAATATTAGGCTGCTGTCACTTTAAGAGCTGCACGAATACAATATACTGTTACACGTGTTTTCTTATCAAATTTTTTCGTTCACTTAAGACATAACCAACTGTGTTTACGAGGATATTTTATACATATTTTTGTGTGTATTTGTCAGCTCAAGTGCAAAAAGACGTGGAAGGCAACTCCATTTTGTATCGCACACTATACAGTATGAGAGGCGGCTTTCTGTGCGCATGCTTTAGATGTGTAGCCTGGTTAAAACCAGACCATTCTCAGTTGTAACTGAGTTATGGTCTGGCAAAGCGTCATAGACAAATCATTTCCAGAGGGGCGTCACCAACGGACGTCGCGGATAGACCTAAAACCAATCAGAGCGATGAAGGAGATGACGTATGCAGAGCGGGGGGAGAAACCTCTCCGAGTGTTGTTCTTTGCTCTGTTTTAACTAAAAGGAAACGTTCTTGCTTAAAACAGACGCGATAGCTGATTCGAACGAGTGATGTTTGATGGCGGCATCCATCTTTGTAATGTAGGCTACAAAATCTGCTTCAAAATCCCAGCGCTGTCGTCATCGTGTAAAGCCCGCCCCAACGTTTCTGATTGGTGCCTCGATTTCGACGGATTGGAAATGGGCTTGAATGAGCTCTTTGCCAGACTAACTTTCAGAGCAAATCTTAATTTGCCAGAAGTTGTCTGGGTTTTCCCAGGCTATTAGATGTGTGCATAGCATTGAAAACAGCGTGTGGGTCTTCTTGCGCTAGAATGGTTTAAAGTCATATTAAAATGCACACAAAGGAATCAATAGGAGGAATAGAAATTCTAATTTTATAACACGTATCTGATTCCTGACCTTAAGTATCTGGTTCCAGAATTGGAATCGATTTTTGATTCCCAACTCTAAGTTTCACTGGTGAAAATTGTCTGCTATTAGGAATTAGTATCATGCTCCAACATAATCAAAGGCAAAACCATAATCCCCAGAAAATACTCCAGGCGCTCCATGTTCCCTACTTATTTTTAGCTTTAAGTGTCATGACCCTCAACAAAACGCACACAAAAGAAACTTTAGGGGAAACTTGGAGATGATTGTCAGCGTGAGAACTGGACAAGGGAAAGCAGGGAGGATTGTTTTGGTAAAGTGGAAGCAAGAGGGAACTGTACCTCCTCCATTTCAAAGGAGTCTCTGGGCTGGCTGAGCAGGTGGGCTATGTGTGGGTTGGGCAGCAGGTTGGATGGTTCTTTATCTGGGGTGGAAGTGATGGTGTTCTGGTACTCGTACTCTTTGAGTCTTGACTCTGTCGTGAGATCCCTCTCGTCAGAAACGCGACTGATGCTCACCAGGACCGGGGAAAGTGGCGTGTCTTTGTCCAGAGCTGGTGACGGACTGGAGTGATCACCATTCGTCAACGTAGAGTCCTTGGCTAGAGGTTCTGGGATTTCTCCGTTGAGTGAGGCCTCTGAGATACATTGCTGTGCTTCCTCGGTCACTGTTTCCAGAGATGAATCTTTTTTCCTAAAGACTTTCTGCTGTGGCTTGTGCTCGGTATCCGTCAGCCCGTCCCGTATGTCAGAGTTCACGCTCTCTGCGCTGTCAGCATCAGGCGCTGAAGGCTGTTTGGCCGATGCTTCCGTGCCGGAGGCCATCAGGTTCTGTCTCGTAATGTTCCGTTTTAGAATTTTGGCCACATTCAGAGCCGAATTATTCCTTTTTAATGGAGGTGTTTTAACCTCTATTTCGCCGTTGCCGATTTTCTCCATGGGTCTTCCGGACACGTGGGAGTAGATTTCTGTGAAAACGTTTGCCACCGTAGCCAGTACTTCTGTTTGACGGAATCGACCTACAGAAAAAGGAGAGCAAACTTTAAATGATTTACTCAAGAAAAAAAAAGGAGAAACTTAAGAAAATTAAAACAGAAACAATAGAAAGCACTTTTCAAACAGAGTTTCCCACACCTGCTATTGTAAAAAAAGTAAACAAGTACATAATAATAATATATTGTATTTTGTAATAGTAAAGTACAATAAATAATGGATTGTAATAATAATATATTAGTTATATAAGGCCTCAACAAATACACAAATTAATAAATAACTGACAAATAAAGTCATCTCTGAAACGGTCAAACCGCATTGTAAATTAGACTGAATTGACTACAGGAGTCATCATTCTGAACATTGGACAGAATTGACTCACTTTAACCGCAGGTTAATCATGTCAGACTCAAAATGAGTCAAGAATTGTTTCTGTATAAGGCTGATTTTCTAAAGGCAATGTTTAAAATGCTAATTAGTAAGGTTAGTTAACTCCTATATGAACAACAAATAAGTAATTACACTGCTTTGAGTTTATGTAAGTGGAGTGTGAATTTTATAAAAAAAAAAAAAAAAAGATAGGGCCTCTCGGTGCAAAAACAAGATCCGGTTAACTTTTCTGTGACGGTTTTGTGTCAATGGTTTTTATCAACATCAAGCTCGTCATTATGGCTGACATAACGGAAAAAGATTTGACAATACTGCACGCATGTAATGGAATGATAACAAGTGATAACAAGCCAGTGATGTGTGGTGCTCAGAAATCAATCGTCTTCATTTATCTCCTGCAATGCAGCCAGGCTGTCTGAGTCAGCGTTCAGGAACGGCTCGCAGGACATGTGCCAGAAAAAGAAAAGAGGAACAGAGAGTGCGGTTTTCTGTGAAAGAGGGACAAGCAAGTCCGATTCGAGATCACAGCCCCCGCATTTAGGGAGGAAGAAGCAAGAGTTACTATGCAAGAATAGACAACAAGACAAGTCCACAAAACGTGAATAAACATTCAAATCCACTTCTTGGTCGAAATGCCTGCCTAGTGAGGTATGAGCATAAACAGTTGGTTAGTCTAGGTTGTGGCATTAAAAAAAAAAAAGTGTCAAAATAACTGTCTTCTACTAAACTAATAAAACTGTTGCTGTCTGTCAGTAATATTATTTGTTCTATTACTTCTATTGTTTCCTTGTTTATTTTAATACTGACAGCAATAATTGCTTGAATAATACCTTGTATGTTTAATAATTACTTGAATTGATAATCTGAATGTTTATTTTAAACGAATAGACCTAAATTAGAGTCTTTATTAATATTTATAGTTTAATATTTAAAGTTAAAAGTGTACGATTTTCCGCACTATTAGCACCATCAAATGGAATTGAAATCTGTTTATTTAAAAAACTAATTAATAAAATTGACAACTACATTCAAACAAAGCTGTTCAGATAATTATATTAAATATGAATATATAATGAAACATTATAATATAAAAAAATATCAGGAATTGTATAGGGCTTCAACAAATAAACAAACAAATAAATAAAATGTTAAATTAAAATAATTTACATAAATTATATATTCTTTCTTAATATTTAAAGGTAATGTGTACAATTTTCTGCACCATTAGCACCATCAAATATAATTACAATTTGTTTGAGATAGATAGATAGAACAATAGATACAACGATAGATGACTTCTGTAAAGTCATATCATAGCTTTTTGTGAGAAACTAAATTATTACTATAAGTATTCACTTTTTAATGCAATTACAGGCTTTTGTGATTCTTTTCTTGGTTTGGAAATACATAAAGGGCGAGGAAATTATAACTGGTATTTTACCCCAACAGTTCCCAGCCAGACCAGCACTTACTAAAACTATGCAACAAAGCGAACCAAATGCAAATGCAGTGCACTCACGATCAACAAAACAGGCCTTATTACAGACTTCACACATCCCTACCCTCACCAAGGTTCTTCCTGTTCCGATGCTTTGTCTTGGCTCAGTGAGATTTATGCAAATGTAGGCCAACACAAAAGCTGGCACAGAGCGGGCACACAGTCCGAATCCTGATGTGAGCGGATGGCAGAATCAGCTCTGCTGTGCCACAGCCTGCTTGTCACTTTCTCTCTCCGTTGCCGTCTGTCTCTGCCTCTCATTTCTGTGCCCACGGAGGACAATGGCTTTGCTGTGCTCTACTTCTACCGAGTCTGAACAGCCCTCGCACACACAGCGAGTGTTTAAAGGGGTTGGGAGCTCAGTGTTTGGTTGAAGATATGGAGTAATTGAGAAACGCCATGGATTAGATGTTCTGCAATGCAGTCTTAAAGACAAACACACTTCTTGTCTGGGCACCACAACTTCCCTCAAGTCTTCTCTTGCTGTCTTTGTCTTACATCTTTATATGGTTAAATACTTGTATGCAGTGGCGTAAGACTGTCGCCCCAGGATTGATAATGCAATTAAGGATGAAATGATATTAAAAACCTGGCTGATAATGATATCGATAGATATGTTCATGTTATGGTTGATAATTAATAAAATAATTATCTAATGTCTAATATTAAAATTCTACACTATTTTGTCAAAATATATTAATTAAAACAGATTTTTTTGAAATGCTGGAAGTGAATTTAGGCATATATAATTGTACAGAATGAAAAGTGGATATTCATTTTAAGATTTGCAATGTTAACACAGTTTTAATATTTAACAGTGTTATTAAATTATTCGTTTTTTTAATGCCCAATTAAACAATTGATGCCAAGACTGATAAACAAAAAATCAAACAAATATTGGTCAATAATGATATCATTCGTCCCTAAATTCAATTGCATGTCAGAAATATGCATTTAATTAAACCGCGTTAATAGACTAAAAGCAAACAAAATACAAGAACGTTTTGTGAAATGTTACTGAGATTAAGAAAAGAAGACTTAGAAATACATAGGCATTCCAGATGCAAACAAATATTGAAAATAACTTTACAGTAGATCGGTAACAGTGCAAATATCGCTTTCACTTGAGAGCAGGGAGCGAGCGAGGAGTGGGAATTTTTGAAAACCTGGAGTGGAGTTACTGGGGAATGCTTTGCATGTGAGCCAAAAAGGAAAGTCATTTCAAAAAGCAGAGGAAGTTAAGTTATTTTAAAGATTTCTAGGACAAACATTTTTTTATTTGCAATAACATGCACGATGAATTGTGCACAATACGACCAAGAACGTGCATTAAGAAGGTAAACAGTCTATTTTGACTTTATGTTGACTTAAATGTTGTCCGGTTGCCTAGCTACAATGTTATTTCTAAGCATCAAGGCCATGCGAAACGAAACGATGTAATGATTATTTTTCAGATTTAAAAAAGGGGAGGGGATAAATGTAGGCATTTTTAAATGCTCGCTACACCCTGCATGTAACATTTCATATATCCCTCAATTAATCATTTCGATCGGTGTGAACCACGGGGGCAGAAATGCCATCAAACATGTTCAGTTGACATACTTGTTAGGGCATAGTTCGGGTTCTCCAGCTCCATGCGCTGAATCTGGGCTCCCAGGTAAACTTTGATGTCGATGCCCTTGGCGCCAGAAGACGAGTTGAAGAAACGAGAAGGGATTTTTGAGGCGATGTCGGGCTCCTCCCGTCCAAAGCCGAGGTTGTATAAAATCTCCTCTGGATCCTCCTCATACAGGTCCAGCAGTTCCGAAACACTGCAGGAAAAACAACATCGGTGAAGACATACATCTGCATCAGCCAAACGATATTTGCCAAAGTGATGCATTACAGACACTGCATATAAAGATCTTGCTAACACTTAACATGAATTAACCATGAAAAATAATTCTACAGCATCTTAGTTAATGTTAATCTCGGCATTTACAACTACATTTTTTAATTAAAATCAAAAGTTGTGTCTGTTAACATTAGTTAATGGACTGTGAACTAACATGAACATGAATATTTTTTATTAACTAGCATTAACAAAGGTTAATTAATGCTGTAAAACTATTGTTCGTTGTTAGTTCATGACATGTTAGTTAATGCATTAACTAATGTCAACAAATGAGACCTTATTGTAAAGTGTTAGCAACATGGGATTGGGTACTTTCAGAAATTTCACATTACTTTTTACACAGATGGATTTTTAAATGTTAACATAAGTTCCCTTCAAACAACTCTGCATAAACCTTCTGTCAGAAGACACTTCAGCATAAGCATGGCTTAAAGTTCAATGCCGCCACAAATATTTGGACACCTAAAGGACAAGTTTACTGATTTTCAACCATCTTTGAATGCAGTAGTTGTTACACCCCTTATTTATTATAAAAATTATATCAAGATTTTATGATGAGAGATGTATGAACTACTGCACAGTTACGTAGGAAATAAGATGACATGGAAAATGGTATTTCTTTCTATTTAGCATATATATATATATATATATATATATATGTGTGTGTGTTTATGTAGATATATATGTGTGTGTGTGTGTGTGTGTGTATCTATATATATATATATATATAATTAGTTATAATTACTATGTAATTAGTAATAGCTATTTAACTAGCCAAATATTAGACAACTAATTGGTCTATCACTAATCTGAAACATAAGTAAAAGTTATTTAAATATAGCCAGATTATCATTAACTATAGTAAAACGGAAATTAAAATGATTATACATTTATTGTATTCAAACTCCTTGCCCAATCACTGGTTGAGTTGTTGCGGATTCACAAGCACATAGATTTTACATGTGTTAATAACTTTAGTGCGTCATTGTTGTAAAGTACCTGGACACTGTGGTGCTGCTCTTTGCAGAGCCTGTGGAGTTCATACTTCTGCCCTTCTGTTTGAACTGGCTCCTTTTGGCCTTGGCTGGCATTTCATAGCTGGGGAAAGAAGACAGTCATCCACCTGTGACTAGACCAACAGAAGATGGGAACATTTTTGAAGTCCTGCTTACCCATTGGCCTCTGTTTTTGTGCTGCTGTTCTGGAGGTGATTGGCTGTAGAGAGAAAGAAGAATATAGGCTTAACTGTGCTGGATTCCTACCTAATTTGATACCGAATTCCTCTTAAACCACCTGTCGACCTTTGACGCAACAAGTGCAGTTAGCAAAAGCCCTGGCTGTCATTTTAGCATTGTGGGAATAGTCAGAATTTTTTTTTTTTTTTTTTTTTTTAACGAAAGAGCCTTATTTAACGTTGTGATAATGTTAATTTCCAAAAGTGATTTATTCAGCTGAGAACATCCACTCTGGACGACAATCCACTTTTCCTCAGCACTTAGAGCACAATGACAGAATTATATGTGCACACATCCTAACCTGCCAAACGATTCATGTTACAAATCACATTAGACACCAGGTTTTAGTTCACTAAAGAGGACAGGATTGAACACAGAGACGCTGAGGACATTAGCCAGAGATTTTCTGGCCTGAAGCATCCTGGTTTACATGCACTCATCCATCAGCCTCAGGTGTAAATGCTCAACCTCGAATTTTCACAGAAATTCCCACAACTGGTGCTGCCTGATTCCTGTGCTTTAGTCAATAAGTGCGGAGAGGAGTCATTCAGTGGAACTAGTCTGGACTCGTTTCTTCACATACAGACACAGTGAGGGGTGAAATCTGGTCGACTGCAGTTTCACAATGGCTTGTGGCAAGTCTGCAGAAAAAAGTTTCTCCTCAACTTCTTGTGTTGTTTAAACTAGTCATTCTACAACTGTCAAAATACACCCACACATAAAATAGCATAATTAACCAAGGAAATATAGTATAATTGATGGCCCATTACACAAGCAAATAATGCAAGTGCTTTTCATACCATTAATATTGTTTTTACATTAATTTGTCCAATATTGTTTTATTACTGTTGTTTTTTTAAACATTATTAAAGTTTTAAGTAGCACACACAGGTTCCAAAGTTAACACTCACCAAGCAAAGACGTGCATGGGTCAAAACCACCAATACAGCCTTCTAAAAAATAATGTTTTCCACAGCGAAAAATCTAGGATGCCTACATTTTTCCCTCCAGAAACAATTTAAAAATAAAGTAAATATATATACATACATACAGTCAGTGGCGGTTCTAGAGGGGGGCCAGGGGGGCCCGTGCCCCTGTGACAACAAGCTTGCCCCCCCTTGTGGCCCCCCTAAATGTGGAGTGTGAAATAGTTTTTACAAAACTGTTTTTTTGCTATCGTTGTATGCGTATTATTTTTTTATTATTCTATCTTTGTGGATTTGCTTGTTCACGTGACAATTCGCATCACATTCGCGGGAATCGCGGCAGAATAACGTCTGTCTCCTGCACGCGAGAGAGGAGAGAAGGAGAAAGCTGGTAAATGTCAGTTCAGTTGCAAGTTCATTCTTTATGTGCGTATCGGGTGTGCGATGTGTATTGTCTATTATGATATTGATTGTAATCAATGTTTTAACTGTATACGAGGCACTGTGAGCTGACATCGCGTTTGTCTATCGTCCTTTCACTGCTGTGTGCGGTTCATAGGTAGGCTATGTCCCCAAATTAGTTTATGTCTTATATTTATATCATATTATGTTCTTATATTAGAATATCACATCAGCAAGAGTGCCGTTTTTCCGTGCACAATAGGCTTTATGCACAGTTTCACTACTTCCTGAACTTCAGCCAGCCCTTTGTTTCCTGTCTGTCATTATTGGACAAACTGATTAATCCAGGTGTGCCTGATTATTGTTACTGAGGCCAGGCACACCTGGTTTAATCAGTTTGTCCAATAATGACAGACAGGAAACAAAGGGCTGGCTGAAGTTCAGGAAGTAGTGCAGCTGTGGCATAAAGCCAATTGCAACTGTGATATTGATGTTATACAACAGTTAAATTAACAATAAGTTAACATTGGGAGTTACTTTTTAGACACAATATTGTCAATATCTTTTGTTTTCCCTTTATTTCGCCGACTAGAATTTCAAAATGAAACCGAGTCTCAATGCAACAGACAGCGATGATTTCTTGACTGAAATCCGCGTTTTGAAAGATTCACTTGCTTCTTTCCCGAATGAATCAGCCATTTGAACAAATCGGTTGAATGAACTCCCTCAACTCACTTATTAAGACTGTGACTTACCACCGTCTACTGGCGGTTTTAGTTTCATATTTAAAGTAGCCTACCCTTTAATTAAAACGTTACAATTAGAAATCATTTCATATTTAAATATTGATTTTAAAAAAATCTCATAGCTTTATTTATGCAATTGTAAATGGAGTGTAAATATATTGATGCCGCTTCTGTGTCACCTCTAGACTGCACTGCAAAGATGGATTTTGATTGAATGAATTAATTTGACTAACAGTGGTACTGTATAATTATTGTATAATTAAGTATTATTGTATAAATAAGTATAATTACTGATTAATTTGAATGTTAGTATTTGACATAAAAGATGATTCATAACTCTAAATAAGTTTAGAATAAATGTACATATATAGGTGAAAATGCCCCTGGAAATCAATTTAAGGTGGCAAATTAAATTAATAAAAAAATAATTTTGGTCCCTGCTGTTAACCGAACACTGCATAGAATATAAAACATATGAATATCTTTGTGAGTCTGCTGTCAACAACAGGCCTAAACCAGCCATGGCACCAGCACAAAACACAATCAGTAAAATATCATCTAATTATCAACAAAACATTGAAAATATTGAGATATATTTTTGTCAATATTGCACACCCCTAATGTACGGTATGAATTTTGATTTCTTCGGGTCTTAAAAAGCCTTAAATTTGACTTTAAAAGGTGTGCAGGAACCCTGTAAACGGTTAGACATAGTTACCTAGCAAGTCAGTTATTTTCAGTAAATTAATTAATAAGCTTCTTGGTCCCCATTGCTTTTGCTCTATAGTTCTCACCAAAATGAAGAGAAAGAAGGATATCATGTCAATTACAGTAACTGTGACTAATACTGAATATGCAATGCAAATGTAAAAATATAATGGAAATGCAAATACATTGTTGAATGATTATAAACATGGTATTTTGCCTGTTTCTGCCTGCAGTGCAGTGCAGAAAATGATATGACAACAATAAGGTCTAAATGTAACAGGCCCCTCTAACAGTACAACTGGCCCCAGCTTGGCCCCCCCAGTTGAAATGGGCTAGAACCGCCACTGCATACAGTGTATATATACATAAATACATATAATATTTTACATTTTATTTTTAAAACATATATAATAAAATATATTTATTTTAATATAATATGAAAGAATAAAATTTTTTTTTAAAACACCATAAATAATGAAAAATGTATGGCCGATAAGCTAAATGTATGGCTTATATTGGACCCTCAGTATGTAACAAACAAAAAACACGTGTAGCACAAAAACAATCATCTTCCTAATTACACATTACACATCAGCATTAAATAATTCCTCACCACAAATAATTCCTAGCTAACATCAGACTTCTGCTACACCTCTGCTATGACATTGAGAAAAAGTGAGCAGCAAAGTCACTTTTATTATTTAAGCGTACCTCTCCCGCTAACACATGGCCAATAAGGTGCACCATGAAACCAGAGATAAGTTATATGATGTGCCAAGACCAGTCTTTCAACCAGAATATCACATGCATGTGTGAGCATGTCACTGTGTGTCCTTAACAGCACATAATCCAAATACAAAGTAAACACTAAACGGCACAAAAACTGACAACAGACCCACAAGGTTTTAAAAACAACAACACAAGGCGGCCAGCAGTCATTCTTGTTTGTCAATCGGTTCATTACCCTCTAAGAAGCTACGTGGGATTCTTGGAATACTTCGGCACATTCCTCACAAAGAAGCACACTTGAGAGCAATTACATCTGATTGAGGGTTAAAGTGGCGAGTACTTACCCTCAGCTCCCAGGGACAGGTCATCTTCAAAGCTACAGCCATTCTTTAATGGCCCTGAAAAACAAAGAGAACAGCTTTCAGAGAGCAAACACTTTACCCTGACCAATCGCGACGAACAAGTGATCATTTCCCATTCTCTTCAACATAAAAAAACACTTGAATACATCCAAGTACTTCAGAGCCCGAATGTGGCTATGGCTTGCACGCACTGAGAGATTAAAAGTAAATATTTACTCTTAAGTGCAATTGCCTTACCTACAAAGTTATCAGAAAGACTGCCGATGCAGTTTCGAATGACCTGATCCATAACACATCATCTGGCTCTTGGCTCCAGTCCTGTATACTGTTAATCTCTGAAGAACCGTTCATCTAATCAAGCACCGCTTTGCCAGGAGTGTGTGGGGGTCTGCTATTGGCCCCAAAGCAGCATACGTGTGCGCGCGCATGTGTGTGTGTGTGTGCCAATGAATGTGCATGTGCGCTGGAGTGCACTGTGAGGTCCTGCTCCAAAGTTCACAAGGAGTGGTGGAGAAGAGAGTCAGCCAGCAGTTGAGTAACCTTTTACAGCAAACCCGATCCCAGAGCGTCAACACGCAACTTATGTAAATGCAAATAAACGCATCATTTTTGGTCTTAAGAAGATGAACTCACCTCTGGACGGACTGGCGCTCTGTTCATCCAAAGAGGCCCCGAGAGGAGTCCTGTTGAAAGATCAATAACACGTCACATCCTCTCCTTACACTCGCCAGATCTCTCCCTAAAAACACGCTCAAACATCCTTCCCTCCCGTGTTCGTTTCTTCGTACACACAGAACGAACTGCATAGATTCTCTTGGCACTTACAAAACGCTGCCTTCGAAATCCCCTGCCACTTTCATCCAGACACCTGGAGATCCGAACGGCGTGAGAAAAAAACCACACCACGTACAACGAGGCTAAGAATAGCTCACGCCATGTTTCACAACACCAGCAGCACCACCGAAAGTCTTTCAGGCTCCGGATATCCAGCAAACTCTCGGCGGTAGAGACACTTACATTTCCTGTCAGCCTGTAGGAGGATGTCTGTCTCATGTGTGTTTAATGATAATGAGCAGGAATTGGGAATAGGACGAGCACGAGGTATTTTTATTGACCTAGTGTGTGGCACTGGGTTCAACGGGGGAATTTGCACTAGTTCTGAGCATTTGATTAAATCAACTATGAAGGAACAGATCACCCAAAAATAAGATTCTGGCATTTGCTCATCATTGAAGTCTCAAATAAATGCCGCTCTTTTGAACTTTCAGTAACACTTTATTTTGCACTGTCCTTGTTACATGTGTTACACGTACTTACTTTAGTAAAAACAAGCAAATTATGCATAATTACATGCAGCTAGCCCAAACCAAACCCTATTACTAACCCTAATCCTATAGTAAGTACATGTAGGCTAGTTAATTATTATTACTCAGTATTTAAATGTATAATTACACTGGCACCTTAAAATAAAGTGTAACCAAACGTTCTATTCATCAACATTGATAATAATAAAAGTTTCTTGAGCAGCAAAGGAGCATATTAGAATGATTTCTGAAGGATCATGTGACACTGAAGACTGGAGTAATGATGCTGAAAATTCAGCTTTGCTATCACAGGAATAAATAACATTATAAAACATATTCAAATGGAGATTAGTCATTTTAAATTTGTCATAATATTTCACAATATACTTTTTTAACTGAATGTTTCATCAAATAAACACAGCGTTGGTGAGCCTTCTTTCAAAAAGAGTCTTCTTTCAAAAACTTTAAAAAGAAAATACTACCAACCCCAAACTTTAAATGGTTTACATGTCATTATAATGGCCCATATCAAATGTGATTTGGCTGTTTTATCTTTTTTTCTTTTCTTTTTTTTCACTTTGGAACAGCAACATAACTTCATCAATGTGAATAATTCCAAACATGTTGGTAAAACCTTTACAAGCATACCAGCTTCTAAACTCAAAGATTCAGATTATGACCGCAATTAAATATCAATCGCATCATTGACAACAAACGATTCTCAAGTCTTCATCGAAAAAAGTTGAGTAAATGACATTAAGCCAAATTTCTTTCAATGTTCAAACAAACATGCAAGGCTTCCTTTTAGATCACAAGATGAAACGGCAGAAAGTGACACGCACCAACAACTCTAGAATCTCGGTTTGGTTTTTCACGTGGACGGTTTATGTTGGTCATGAGGGACGTATATCTACAAAGTAAATAAATGGCCCTTTCCTCCTGCGTTTCAGAGCTAAACAGTCATGCATCTTAAAAAAAAACAGCCTGGCAGTACAGAGAGAAAGACTAAAAACTCTCCGAGGACAACTTCAGCATTAATGGGCCCCTACAGACCCAGAAAAGCCACCAAAAAAAAAAAAAAAAAAAAAAAACTGCAGCACAAAGGACAATAGTCAGTCCTCAAGTAAAGACTTTCCTGACTCTGGGAAGATCACGGTCTGAACCAACTGAACTATTCACACAATTCTCTCAAATTTACAGCTTGTCAGAGACAGGAGACAGAATGCTTTTCTCTGCCAGAACGCATCTGAGCGATTTGTTTACTTACCAATTCACGTCACACCATGGCGTGTACACACATTTTTCTCACACTATTTGCATTTGTATTTTATGAACAGTGTTTTTTTTAGGTAACTCACCTGCAGGTCCTAAGCCAGTTCTCTACTTGATTTGGATTAGGCCCTGAGGAAAAAGAGAATACAAGTAACCGTTCCATGTAATAACCAAATTAATTTCCCTAAAAGCAACATCAAACAAACAAATCTAACTGTGACGACAAACACGGCACTCTCTGAACTACCACTGTGTTCTGCGATTCTTATTTTTCAAAAAACTTTCTTCGCTCTTAATTGGTTTATCATGACTTGCATGGAGAATCAAATGCCAAGCAGACAAACCTCTTTAATCTCTCTGTCTGCTGTGTTCATTACGACATTATGACTTCCAGTAAACCTTCAAACCCCCAAAAGCCATGTTGAGAACTCGGATTCAAATGATAAAAACAACAATCGTATGGTTTGCTATTCTGGTCTGCATTTAAATATCATCCTAAATTTGCATATAATTTTTTTAGGTGTCCATTTATAAAAAGTATTACTGGTATTTCTCCGTATCGCTGAATTTTTATAGGCCAATGAAATGTTGACATTCACAAAATGCAGACTGTTATCTGTAGGCTTAATTCATGTAAAACTGTGGTAAAAAAAAACAGCTCTGTGAAATTTAAAGAGGCAATACAATCCATATCAAGCAAACAATGTTAAAATATTAGTTATCAGTAATTGTGTGTGTGCAATTAACATCCTTATTAGCAATGTACTTAGCATATCAAATATATTGATTATTTGGGAGATTAATTAATCAGTTTCTAGACAGAATCAAGAGTATTTAATAACATCTCTGGCTGAAACTTCCAAAAATGTAGTTAAAATAATAATTTTGTTTTCATGAATCAGTTCAAACTGTCCATCAATCAAATGATTTAAAATCAACTATTTGTTTGCATCGCTTAATCTCTGTGTGGTATACGTTTTTGTGTGTTTTTTTTCATATGTTAAAACATTTACGCAACAATATACAATGGTAAATGCTGTTCATTACTATGTTGTTAAATTTAAACATACCTTCAATATTTTAACAAGATTTCCACTGTATGTTCTGCATTTTTGAATCCACATGGCTGCGCCAATCATTGCTTAATTGGTTGAAATGACAAACTTCTGAAAATTCAACCCTAATACTATGTATTATTATTATTATACATTTTATTTAGGCGCCTTGCATGACACTCAAGGACACCTTAAAAACACAATAAAACAATCAACATTAAATGAAAAATAATCATTACAGCCTGGACACACTGGATACAAGCATAAAAGCAATCGCATAAAAGCCTGCCTAAAAAGATGGGTCTTAAGGCGTGATTTAAAAACAAGAAGACTTTCACTGTTTCGCACATCCTGTTGCAACAAGTTCCATAAATAAGGTGTGCGTGACTAAAGGCTCGGGGACCCTTTAGAAGTGGTGCGAGTCAAGAGAGTGAGTGCAGAAGATGATCTCAAAGTACGAGTAGAAGTGAAGACATGAAGAAGGTCAGAGAAGTATGAAGGTAACCACAGAACCGAACAAACCTGAAAAATTGGCACCGTTATCCCATTAATAGAAAGACTGTACCTGTTTCTGAGGCTGTCGAAGTCTTATTCTCCATAGGCTGTGCAGACAGCGGCTCCTCTGCTCCCTGGTCCTGAGACTCAGGAGCCTGCCAGGAGTCTCGGCTCTGAGCCCAGGCCCTCCTCTTGAAACTGGCAGGGGCGGACTCGCACTCCTCCATGTCCTTGGCTCGGACGGGAAACTACAGTGGGGGACAGTTCACCTGGACAAAAAGAAAAGAGGGACAGACTCAGATCTGAATTGCACAACAATATCCAGGCCCCCATCTCTCCAAAGGGATTGGTGGCAGGTCCAAAGAAGAGTGATGTGACTGTCTTTTGTCATATGAAGCAGACTTTTAACAGTCTTCCTTTACTGAACCAAGCCACATAAACCGAAACTTTGCACACATCATATGCTCGTCTGAGCAAGAACAGAAATGCATGAGCCGACATGTCTTTGATGCATTACTTGCACGTGAAGTTGGTGAAGGGTGTTAACTGAAAACAGAATGTGTAATAGACTAGGTGTCAGCACATTAAACAGCACCGTCTCCAATCAACACACACTCTCAAAGCCAAAATTGCATGCATAGCATAAATGGACGCAATCAAAAACAGACTCTGAAATTACATATATTATCCTAAATGTTTATGACTTCCCACTTTCAAGAATAATTACAGTAATTCTCTGTAATTATTGCTGAACCCATAAACTGTAATAAATGTTTGCATGATGATAAATGTAAATCTGAAATCTACAGTTAGTATAATGCATGTGGAAAAATTGCATAAAAGTGCCTCTTTGAAAAACAGACATTGGGTGTTTTTTTTCTTTTTGTTTCAAATAGAGATCATGATTCTCCCACGATTCAGAACAGAAAACTTGAATGTTAATTGCTGCAGTCTATTTAAAAAGTTTAATTAATTTGAATTAATTCTTAAAAAAAAAAAACTGAATGAATGATTCAATGACTCACTTATAAAGACTTTCATTGCTGGATGAATCTGCGTTTTTGAACGAATATCTTGAATGAATCAATGATTCGATGACAAAATACATTTCGCTTGTCGCCACCTACTGGCGTAATGATATAATCGATACAATATTGATTTGAAAAAGTTATTCAAAAGATGAATCAATCTATTTTGATCGCTAGGGCAGACATTAGTGTTTATATCCGAAATGTAAACTTTTATCCGAAATGTAAACTTTTATCCAAGTACTTCTGTGATCATTCAAATCATTGTAACAGAATACCTATACATGAAAATTGCTCTCTCTGGCTCAGCGGCAGCGTGAAAGCAGATCTGAATGTTCGCTGTGATCGTACTTGTCAAAAGGTTTAATAGACACAGGCGAATCGTTGCCATTTAAAATAAGATAGCGTGTGTTTGAATCGAGATTGCAAACTTACAACGATTAATCGTGCAGCTCTAATTATCGGTGCCATGTTGTTTTCCATAACAGATTGTAGAGGTGTAGAAATTACACACTCAGATTTAAATAACATAATCATCCTGACAGTCTAAATATCCTAAAGAGAATGTTTTTGCAAAATAGATTTTATTATTTCTATTTTTTTAATGTAGAATAAAAAACGTCTTCAAAGAGTCTACAAAATGTGATAACCTATGAACTAAACTGTTACATGGCCCAAGGCTCTGTCCAATAGGAATATGTTTTGCTTAGCAAGAACAAAAATTAGAGGGAACATTGCTTCCAGATATTACAGGAAAATCAAATAAGAGATGAAGGCCATGTGACGGCACTGGGACAACAAATAACCAGCATGAGAAACTAATAACATCTAGAGATTCCAAGGTTCCTGTCAATACGGCGCAAACAGAGGGTGAAGGAGGGAGAGAAAGAAAGGGAGATGGGGGTGTGATGAGGGTCTTAGCTGGAATAGATGGTAGAAAGAAAAAGTCTAAAAACAAGTTGAGCAGGAAATGTCTGTTTAGTTGAAAGATTACAAGCTGGTGCGGAGTCATTTCCTGTTTTAGATCTGGCACTTTATGAAGGAACAGATGAGCCTGACCAAATGGGATGGATTTATAATTCAGCGGTCTGATCTCCCACAATTCTCACACTGCTATTAATAGCATGTGTCTATTTTAAGACTGATCATAGAAGTATGACTAAAATGAAATCGTGTTAGCCAGCACAACCACCTCATTTTATTGCTAAAGTCTATTGATTATAAGGAAACAGATCAACATTAGGGAATATACCTAACTTTCTGAAGGCATTTAATCAACAACCAGGAGGCATCAGCAAACTGGGCCTTAAAATAAGACAGAAATAAATATTAAGCTAAAAATCACAAGTCTTGGAAGACCTGGATATATGATGTAGGGCTGGGCAACGATTAATCGCGATTAATCGCATCCAAAATAAAAGTTTGTGTTTACATAATATATGTGTGTGTAGTGTGTATAATTAATTTGTATATATAAATACACACACATGCATGTATATATTTAAGAAATATTTGCATGTATTTACTTTATATATATTTATACATAATTAATATTATATATAAATATAAATATTTGATATATTAATAACAAATTTTTCTTAAATATATACATGCATGTGTGTGTATTTATATATACAAAATAATTATACACACTACACACACATATATTATGTAAACACAAACTTTTATTTTGGATGCGATTAATCGCGATTAATCGTTGCCCAGCCCTAAATGATGTAGCCCAAATTTAAAAGAAAAGTCATGGAAATGAAGAAAATTCATTTTTATATATTTTTTATAATGAATATACATTTTAATAGTTATGACAAGCTCTAAAATATTTTAATAAGGTTGAAATTGTAAGTTTAGGCATATAAATCATATGCAGAAAACCATAAATGACTGGAAGAGTCGTGTAAGTTAATTAGCAGTCACTAAAGAAAAATGCAGCTCCTCAAACTTCTGCAATCCTGAAATGTAATTATTTTAAATAAATTACATTTTTTAATAATATAATATTTGATGTAATGTGTGTATATTATATAATAATAATATAATATTTTAATAATATTTTAGTCATATTTTAGTTTTCTTAGAAAGTTACATTAAGCCCATAGATTAAATGAAACCAAAACTAGGGCAATTTGGACAATGGAAAACCAAAAAGGCTGTAGAAAAACTGACCTACAGTCATAGTCTATCTCAAAATAGGGAGATCAGGTCTCATATCGCCATAAAGAGGTTTATTTTGCGATCACGTCTGGCTAATCTTACATTCATCTCATTGCATGGATTTTATTAAAAAACGAGATCGAAACGGACATGTAATATTGATTTGAGTTTAAATTTTAAGACTGCAGAGCAATACACAAAAAACTAGCAGAGTCAACTACTTTTGAAAATCAGAAATAAAATTGTTTAGCAGTCTTCAAACAATCAATATTTGACTGAAAACTGCTGCAAACAAACAATCACAACCAAGTTTTCCATAGAGACGTGTCCTAATATTGTAGAATATGTACTAGGTTGATTAAAAAGGTCTAATAATGCAAACAGAGTCTCATTTTTAGCTGCATATCTGTTCACATGTTGAAATCTCTTCAGAGGTTGTTATTTTTGGACTCCAATGACAGAATTGATGTCAAGTCAACTTGGAGAAAGTTAAAACGAAGTAAGCGGTGTCCTTCAGTATGTAGACTCCCTAAAAAACATGCCAAACACCCCGTTTCTCATTAAAAACAAATTCATTTGCAACACACAATGATTAATTACTACATTAGCACACAAATAAACCTTCTCCAATGTCATGTTAAACACAAATATGAGTCCTAAAAACAGTTTGATACATGGCCACTTTGACAAAAGTAGTATCAAAACAGTCAAGCATGTTGATAGAGACTTTTGTGTTGTCTCTTTATGAAATCTGTCAATTACCCATGTAACAGCAGCCACATATGAGAGCAATACGGTCCATTCCCCTTTCACAAACAGCGTAGTTGTTTAATTCCATAAACACAGCAGAACTCGTGCTCTCCGCTCCATTTTGGACCTGCGATTTGTAAACAGTTACATACTCTGCTTTAAATGGGTAGAGCCTTGGGGAAGAAGGATGGGGAAAGCAGCGACTTAACATAAATAAGCGCTACTAAGCAACGTCGAGCATGCCGCGTATCCACCAATCACAGAACAGATGCAGTATGCTAAATAGGGGGAAACATTTACAGAAAACCCCCACACACATCCAGTAAACCAAATGTTCCAATATTCCCGGGCAATCCAGCTGTGTTTTTGTTATGAACCTTGCATTATATAAGATATTTGCATTAATTTGACTGTTTACAGACAGCATGAAATGAAAGTAAAAGGTTTAGTTCACTCAAATAATTAATGACAGAATTAATTACTCACCCTCATGTCGTTCCAAACCCGTAAGACTTTTGTTCATCTTCGGAACACAAATGAAGATCTTTTTGATGAAGTCTGAGAGCTTTCTGTTCCTCCATTGACAGCTACGCAACTACCACTTTTACGCTTCATAAAAAGTTCATAAAGAGATTGTAAAAATACTCTCAGATTTCTTCAAAAAAGATCTTCATTTGTGTTCTGAAGATGAACAAAAGTCTTACGGGTTTGGAACAACATGAGGGTGAGTAATAATGACAGAATTTTTGGGTGAACTATCTCTTTAATTCACCCTATTATCTAAATGCATACGTGACAGTGCCTGTTTAAAAAAGAAAAAGACCTCGTAATGTTTAATCAAAATGTCATAACTGGATCTTCCGGTGAAACTGACACTTCTTTCTGGTGACATTTGCAGGACTCCAATCATTTAGTTCCTTAAACCCCGCTTCTGCAAGCTCATGTTTTTTACTGCCTTGTCATAACTCTTGTTATGAGTGAACAGACTTAAAGATGAGAGAAAAAAAAATGTGATAAAACCCATATCCTGTGCTGTTAAAGCAGAATAACCACTCCAAACCTTGTAAACCAAAAGAGTCTATGAAAAATAGCTGGATGTCGGAGTTGTGAGAAAAATCAGTGACCTCCTCAATTCCATTGAATAAACACGCTGTCGCTATCATACTTCACTATTCTCAAACCTGTCAACAAAAGCTTGTTCGGCTGAAAATTCCTTGAAAAACGATGACTATTTTTAAAATGCTGCATGCACCCCACACATGCTCTCGCTATGACCTCCTTCTGTTGAACTGAGGACGTCCCAGTTCCCACATCTCATTCCAGATCTGACCGGTTGCTTTTTGTCTCCGTCCCCACGTCCCAAAGGCCCCAAACAAAAACAGGCCCGGGGCTCCAAGTCAATCAGGCACAAACAACAGCACAAAGCGCATCCTAAGAAACATCCCACAAATGCATCACATAGAACTAGTGATTAAGAACACATCCGGTCCAAACAGGCTGATTCTTAGTAGGACTGGGCGATTTATTGAATATTCAGGATAACTTCACTGGAAATATAAAATTAAACATGAATATTTATTTATGTTTCCAGAGGACAGCATCAGGTCAGACTAAT